CCTGGAATTGTTTGTACTTGTAAATGATCTGGTCCTGATGATCCAGTCATTTTTCATGAGTTTCTGATCTGGTCTTGAAGACACAGTCAGTTTCAAAAAGAGTTGTTGCAAATAGAAAATAAAAGCTCAGTATTTTGTATGTTTCATATTTTATGCATGACAACCTAAGAAGGCACAACCTAATCGGACAAGTCAGCTTCCCTTCCAAGATGTTTGTTTGTATGTTAAATTAATTATTCACATTTAATGGAATAGGCTGAGAAAGAAGGATATGGCTGCCACAAGTTAAATAGAATCAGGATTTAAATATTCATCAGATTTGTTAGACCATTGTCATGTTAGTCATTAGAGTTAACACTGGTAGGTTACCCAGTTTCTTGTGTTTAAATTATTTCTCGATTGCTACAATCACATTTTATGTGATTAGCTGTGTTCGCTTTCCTTGACAAGTCCGCTATAGCCAATATGGTATGCAGATTTATTCCTGGCAGGAGACCCCAATTTTGGTCAAATCCTGTAGAAAGATTTATTGTCGAGAATCCAACAGTTCATAAACATACTAAGTCAATTATCCACTCTCTTTAAGGAATTATTCCACGTCAAGAAATTGGATTTTTGTACTCATTACTGATAACAAAAACTTGTCATTTCTCATTAAACGCTATCTCTACGATTTAATGATTCTATCACTATCCAATATTCCCATGGAACAAACGAGAACAAATTTCATTTGAGGGGTACTCGATACGAGGCTTGCGCCTCCTTAAGTATAATTACACAGAGAATTACGCTGGTATTAAATAAAACCGAAGCTTTACATGTAGACTTTCCAATATACCAGGTCTGACAGGGTTTCAAATGAAGGATTTCTCTCCCAAATATATTGACCTTTCTCGAGGTGTTGAAGAGTACGAGTTTGTCCAATTACATTACTGCAAGCGAGAGTGGTTTCCATGGCTAGCCTCGTTGTGGATGATGCCTTGGGTAGCTGTTGTGTCATATCCCCCTTCCCCCATGGTATCACAGATGGTATTATTGTGATAACTGTCAATTGATGAGGGAATCAATGTAGGCCTCTTACCCTAGTCAAGTTCCTCTCTCATCACCATTGTTTCATTGCTTTCATCTTGTCGTCCGACACCACACAATCATAGACATGGGTGAGCCATCCATCGTCTGTGTCTACCATGCATTGTGATTACGGTGTAAACAATATTTACAAGAGTGAGAAACCCTTCTCTTGGTGTCTGATTTTTAATGGAAACTATTCAGAAGTTCAAAAAAGGCATTTTCTCTTTAGAAAGACAGTTAAATTCAATGATATTGTTAATTATCAAAATCATGACCTAGTCAATGATTACAGAACATCCTGTTTCATTCACAACAAAATTATACCTCATGACTTGAGACCATCCATGAATTCCTTGGAAGCGTTTGGAACACTATGCTTATTTTGTCATTGTATCTAGTATTGGCTGGATATTCTATATAAATGAGATTATATATCTGATGTTTGTGTCATTATTATGTTGATTATTATCTCTACCAATTGTAAAACTTGGCAATGTTTGAAGTAAGGATTACCAACACCACTTTGACTAAATAGACTTAACTTCAAGTAAAAACTTTTTCTCAATCTAGAGACAGCGAATGGCACTACCATATTTTCCAGACTGATTTTTTTCTCTTTTTTTTTTTGGATAAATTTGATGCAAAGTGACACTGTCACTAAATTTGCATCATATCCAGTTATCTTTTCAATGCAGAACCAATGTTTTCAGTCCTTCAAAATGACCATATAAATATTTTAGAAATCAGTATACTGTCGATGATATAAATAAACTTGACACAATGTAACTTTAAGAAGCCATTATTCAATATAAAATGAAGTCCAACATAAGATCTTTGACTTTGTTAGTTATCTTTTGTACTTATAAACTTAAAAAAGCCAATTTTGATAATTTTGCGGATATAGCATGTGGACTACTTTTTTTGACAGCATAGTTGACAACTTGATTAATAGAATCAACAACATCAATGTTTTCTGGTTACTAAGGTACTTCTCTAGAGTACAACTCTGTGATTCTTGGGTAGATTTCACCTGAAACTTGCATGAATTATCTCCATAAATTTCAAAATTTCATCTTGTTTCTTGGTGTTGGAAAAAACTTTCTGTTTTGGTGAAAATGGCAAAATTTAAAGCATGGAGACCCCATTTTATTTAATCATAAAAATTATCCTCAGAAATTTCTCTATCAAAAAGGAAAGTCTCAAAATAAGTTCAATACTATAAGTTGGTCCACTTGGTTTATTTCTTTGTTGGTTATGCAGTTTGAGGCTCGTTAAATCAAATGAAAGCATTTTCACGTCATTTTTTCTTAATGTCGCAGTATCATACGCTTACTTTGTATTGAAAGACGAAAATTTATTTGTAAAAGTGTTGCTGCGAAAATAATAGAGAATGTCTGTTATTCGGGGAAACTATAATTACAATATGTGAAAATGATTTTCCTGTTACGCATATTCTGGTGCCTGTACTCAAAAAAGTAGTGACGTAACATTTTTTTTTTTTGCTTTTAATCTATTTTTCCAATATCAAACATTACAAAAAACATAATAAGAAAAAAGTGGATTTTTTATACTTCTTGGAGGATTACATCCTTAGCTTTACTATCACTTGAAAGTTAAAAATGTTGTTTATTTTTTTATTTTCTGTCCTTCATTCAAGTCTTAAGAGACTTTTTCATCCCACAGCAAGTGCTCATAAAATAAGTTTGTGGGAGGCATATAACTCATCAAGAAGAATTCCCTTAAATATTACTTATTTCTTTGAAAAAATACTCTCATTTTATCAAATTGTTTGAGAAGTTCAGGACATTAAAGGTAACATGTTATCAGATTGTTTGAGAAGTTCAGGACCGTGAAGGTAACATGTTATCAGATTGTTTGAGAAGTTCAGGACCGTGAAGGTAACATGTTATCAGATTGTTTGAGAAGTTCAGGACCGTGAAGGTAACATGTTATCAGATTGTTTGAGAAGTTCAGGACCGTGAAGGTAACATGTTATCAGATTGTTTGAGAAGTTCAGGACCGTGAAGGTAACATGTTATCAGATTGTTTGAGAAGTTCAGGACCGTGAAGGTAACATGTTATCAGAAATAACAACTGTTGAATTAGTTTGATTTCTATTTTCTTTAATAAAAGTTTTAAGGTCTTTATAGATGGCAGTCCTTTATCTTGATTTTCTTACCAATGGCTTGGAGAAAGAAAATGCTTCTTTATCAGGATAAAACAAATAATTTTGAATCAGGTAGAATTGTATTTCTTTATTGATATTTACCTTTATAAAATACATAATTGTGTTCTGTACTGAAATTTTATCAGGCCACACACCTTGTATTCTTTTCTATTATCCATGATTAATTTAATCATTTTCATCTTTATTAATGGTAAAAGAATGATTAGCTACAATTTGTTCAGTACTTTACTACTTCCTCTGATGTACATGTGGTAATAACAAACCACTTTCACCTATGCATTTAATACTATAGTTGTCCTCCATTAGTCTGTTTGTCACAGAAATATTGTAGTTGTGATTATCTCAGCAGTAAATGACATGTTTACAACTCAATAATTATACTGTGAGTTTCCACCACCTTGCCCCCATACAGGGGGAACAACTCCAAGCATCTGTTTGTCACGCCCAGGTTTAAAAGCCTGTAGGGTTAAATGCATCCACATTTAATGATTTTCCTATACATTTTGCGACAAATTTGACAAATTATCTTGCTTTGATTGATAAATCGCTGAGTTGAGTGATTTTTGCATTTAGGGGCCTGACTGACTTGGGGAATCCCTAATGAGGCGGTCGTCTGTGTCAGATCTGACGTGCCCCCAGGCCAGTTGATAGGCCAAGCTTGTTAATTCAATAGCTTGGGCTTGATTTGTCAGACAGTAGGACAGTAATTCCTGTCTACTTCTTCATCTCTTTTACCCCTGATTTAATGGATTTTCTTGGCCATTTTGTCGAGCTGAATGTGTTGTTGTAAATGATTAAGCCCCTCTTTCATACCCTGTTAGCATCCAATTCTGCATCATTGAGTACTTTTTACATCACTCGGTGTCACCCTTTGAAGGTATCCTGGTACTGATTTGGCTTGGTGAAAACAGGAAGGTAGAATTGTCCAACTATGATATGTCTCCGAGTTTGCTTGGTAGTTCCGGATCTTGTCATTTGCACACTCAAAAATCCAATTTGTACACTGGAGTGTGATTGGACAGAGGCACCACCTTCCTGTGTCAACCTTGTCTAATCGTTATGGTGACACAACAGTCTCTCAACTTTCTTCACTTTCACTTTTATTTTGTCAATTAAAATTCTTAATAAATATTTGTCTAAGGACTCCAATGATGACATTATTTTAGTCTTCAGACATATCTTAAGGATTTTACTTAAAATCTGATGTGTTTTACCCGCTAAGATCAAGCGTTTCAATAAGTACAATAGATCTTGTATTAATAGTTGGTCTTTCTTCTAGAATTGAGAAAATGTTTGCCATTCAATTTGGTCATTGTTATTATTTCCTTGATAGGAGGATTTTAGGGATATTTTATTTATTTGAGTTTTTTTTTAAAATGATACTGAATTTGAACTTTTTGAATCATTTTAACTGTGAAAAAGCACTAGAGATTTATTCATCTTGACATTATGCTGTTCTGCTTAAATGCATGGATATCTCATGATCAGGAAATTCTGAGGGTAGTTTGCTATTGAAACATTCCAAAATGTACATGTTCGGATTGATATAATTTTTTTATTTTCTTTCCTCATGACATTTGATTAAAAGTCAGGGTATGAGCTTATTTCAAGGCAATGAACAAATGCTTGTATTCTTTTTGATAACTTTAAGCTTTTGACATGCTTATTATCAGACATGAACTTGTTACCAGATAAATGTAAAACTTGATGAGTTAACATGTTATATGCTTTTTATTGACAGGTGGAAATATGGGGTATGGAGGGAGAGGGCCACCAGGAGGAGGAGGAGGTGGCTATAATCAGGGGTAAGTGTCCTTAATGGCAGTATCAGAAATAATACAAGAACCAGGGGTAAATGTAGTTAGGACCAGTACAACAGGGGAAAAGGGTAGAGGTACAATCAGGGGTAAATGAAGTTAGGGCCCAGTACAACAGGGGAAAAGGGTAGAGATGTCTGGGGTAAATGTAGTTAGGGCCAGTACAACAAGGGAAAAGGGTGGAGATGTTTGGGGTAAGTGTAGTTAGGGCCAGTACAACAGGGGAAAAGGGTAGAGATGTTTGGGGTAAGTGTAGTTAGGGCCAGTACAACAGGGGAAAAGGGTAGAGATGTCTGGGGTAAATGTAGTTAGGGCCAGTACAACAAGGGAAAAGGGTGGAGATGTTTGGGGTAAGTGTAGTTAGGGCCAGTACAACAGGGGAAAAGGGTAGAGATGTCTGGGGTAAATGTAGTTAGGGCCAGTACAACAGGGGAAAAGGGTAGAGATGTCTGGGGTAAATGTAGTTAGGGCCAGTACAACAGGGGAAAAGGGTGGAGATGTTTGGGGTAAGTGTAGTTAGGGCCAGTACAACAGGGGAAAAGGGTAGAGATGTCTGGGGTAAGTGTAGTTAGGGCCAGTACAACAGGGGAAAAGGGTAGAGATGTCTGGGGTAAGTGTAGTTAGGGCCAGTACAACAGGGGAAAAGGGTGGAGATGTTTGGGGTAAGTGTAGTTAGGGCCAGTACAACAGGGGAAAAGGGTAGAGATGTCTGGGGTAAATGTAGTTAGGGCCAGTACAACAGGGGAAAAGGGTAGAGATGTCTGGGGTAAATGTAGTTAGGGCCAGTACAACAGGGGAAAAGGGTAGAGATGTCTGGGGTAAGTGTAGTTAGGGCCAGTACAACAGGGGAAAAGGGTGGAGATGTTTGGGGTAAGTGTAGTTAGGGCCAGTACAACAGGGGAAAAGGGTAGAGATGTCTGGGGTAAATGTAGTTAGGGCCAGTACAACAGGGGAAAAGGGTGGAGGTACAAAAATCAGGAGTAAATGAAGTTAGGGCCCAGTACAACAGGGGAAAAGGGTAGAGATGTCTGGGTTAAGTGTAGTTAGGGCCAGTACAACAGGGGAAAAGGGTAGAGATGTCTGGGGTAAATGTAGTTAGGGCCAGTACAACAGGGGAAAAGGGTAGAGATGTCAGGGGTAAATGTAGTTAGGGCCAGTACAACAGGGGAAAAGGGTAGAGATGTCTGGGGTAAATGTAGTTAGGGCCAGTACAACAGGGGAAAAGGGTAGAGATGTCTGGGGTAAGTGTAGTTAGGGCCAGTACAGCAGGGGAAAAGGGTGGAGATGTTTGGGGTAAGTGTAGTTAGGGCCAGTACAACAGGGGAAAAGGGTAGAGATGTCTGGGGTAAATGTAGTTAGGGCCAGTACAACAGGGGAAAAGGGTAGAGATGTCTGGGGTAAATGTAGTTAGGGCCAGTACAACAGAGGAAAAGGGTGGAGATGTTTGGGGTAAGTGTAGTTAGGGCCAGTACAACAGGGGAAAAGGGTAGAGATGTCTGGGGTAAGTGTAGTTAGGGCCAGTACAACAGAGGAAAAGGGTGGAGATGTTTGGGGTAAGTGTAGTTAGGGCCAGTACAACAGGGGAAAAGGGTAGAGATGTCTGGGGTAAATGTAGTTAGGGCCAGTACAACAGGGGAAAAGGGTGGAGGTACAATCAGGGGTAAATGAAGTTAGGGCCCAGTACAACAGGGGAAAAGGGTAGAGATGTCTGGGGTAAGTGTAGTTAGGGCCCAGTACAGCAGTGGAAAAGGGTAGAGATGTCTGGGGTAAATGTAGTTAGGGCCAGTACAACAGGGGAAAAGGGTAGAGATGTCTGGGGTAAGTGTAGTTAGGGCCAGTACAACAGGGGAAAAGGGTAGAGATGTCTGGGGTAAATGTAGTTAGGGCCAGTACAACAAGGGAAAAGGGTAGAGATGTCTGGGTTAAGTGTAGTTAGGGCCAGTACAACAGGGGAAAAGGGTAGAGATGTCAGGGGTAAATGTAGTTAGGGCCAGTACAACAGGGGAAAAGGGTAGAGATGTCTGGGGTAAGTGTAGTTAGGGCCAGTACAACAGGGGAAAAGGGTAGAGAAGTCAGGGGTAAATGTAGTTAGGGCCAGTACAACAAGGGAAAAGGGTAGAGATGTCTGGGTTAAGTGTAGTTAGGGCCAGTACAACAGGGGAAAAGGGTAGAGATGTCTGGGGTAAGTGTAGTTAGGGCCAGTACAACAAGGGAAAAGGGTAGAGATGTCTGGTTTAAGTGTAGTTAGGGCCAGTACAACAGGGGAAAAGGGTAGAGATGTCAGGGGTAAATGTAGTTAGGGCCAGTACAACAGGGGAAAAGGGTAGAGATGTCTGGGGTAAATGTAGTTAGGGCCAGTACAACAAGGGAAAAGGGTAGAGATGTCTGGGTTAAGTGTAGTTAGGGCCAGTACAACAGGGGAAAAGGGTAGAGATGTCAGGGGTAAATGTAGTTAGGGCCAGTACAACAAGGGAAAAGGGTAGAGATGTCTGGGTTAAGTGTAGTTAGGGCCAGTACAACAGGGGAAAAGGGTAGAGATGTCAGGGGTAAATGTAGTTAGGGCCAGTACAACAAGGGAAAAGGGTAGAGATGTCTGGGTTAAGTGTAGTTAGGGCCTGTACAACAGGGGAAAAGGGTAGAGATGTCAGGGGTAAATGTAGTTAGGGCCAGTACAACAAGGGAAAAGGGTAGAGATGTCTGGGTTAAGTGTAGTTAGGGCCAGTACAACAGGGGAAAAGGGTAGAGATGTCTGGGTTAAGTGTAGTTAGGGCCAGTACAACAAGGGAAAAGGGTAGAGATGTCTGGGTTAAGTGTAGTTAGGGCCAGTACAACAGGGGAAAAGGGTAGAGATGTCTGGGGTAAGTGTAGTTAGGGCCAGTACAACAGGGGAAAAGGGTAGAGATGTCTGGGTTAAGTGTAGTTAGGGCCAGTACAACGGGGGAAAAGGGTAGAGATGTCAGGGGTAAATGTAGTTAGGGCCAGTACAACAGGGGAAAAGGGTAGAGATGTCTGGGGTAAGTGTAGTTAGGGCCCAGTACAACAGGGGAAAAGAGTGGAGATGTCAGGGGTAAGTGTAGTTAGGACCAGTACAGCAGGGGAAAAGAGTGGAGATGTCAGGGGTAAGTGTAGTTAGGGCCCAAATACAACAGGGGAAAAGGGTGGAGGTACAGTCAGGGGTAAGTGTAGTTAGGGCCCAGTACAACAATGGAAAAGGGTGGAGGTATGGTCAGGAGTATGTGTAGTTAGGGCCCAGTACAACAGGGGAAAAGGGTGGAGGTATGGTCAGGAGTATGTGTACTTTGGACCAGTACAGGAAGACAAAAATGGTTCTATTGTATCTTCCTTCAAAGTTTAATAAAAAGAGCTATTCACTTGTGTGTCACAGTCTTTGATGAGAGTATTACCTATGTGCTGTTTGTTTTAAGGTGTGTCTAGTTGGACCCATCTACCTGTCGAGGCAGTGGTTTAGTTATTCAAATTTTGTCTCTTGAATTTTGTTGAAATTATTTATGGTACTTTTAACTAGTAAACAACTTCCCAGACAATAGAAAATCAACAACTTACCATACACTAGAAAATCAACAGCTTACCACACACTAGAAAATCAACAACTTCCCACACACTAGAAAATCAACAACTTCCCACACACTAGAAAATCAACAACTTCCCACACACTAGAAAATCAACAACTTACCACACACTAGAAAATCAACAACTTCCCACACACTAGAAAATCAACAACTTCCCACACATTATAAAATCAACAACTTCCCACACACTAGAAAATCAACAACTTCCCACACACTAGAAAATCAACAACTTACCAGATATACAAAAACAACAACTTACCAGATACTAGAAAATCAACAACTTACCAGATACTAGAAAATCAACAAGTTCCCACACACTAGAAAATCAACAACTTCCCACACCTTAGAAAATCAACAACTTATCAGATAATAGAAAATCAACAACTTAGCAACTACTAGAAAATCAACAACTTCCCACACACTAGAAAATCAACAACTTACCAGATACTAGAAAATCAACAACTTCCCACACACTAGAAAATCAACAAGTTCCCACACACTAGAAAATCAACAACTTCCCACACCTTAGAAAATCAACAACTTATCAGATAATAGAAAATCAACAACTTAGCAACTACTAGAAAATCAACAACTTCCCACACACTAGAAAATCAACAACTTACCAGATACTAGAAAATCAACAACTTCCCACACACTAGAAAATCAACAACTTACCAGATATACAAAAACAACAACTTACCAGATACTAGAAAATCAACAACTTCCCACACACTAGAAAATCAACAACTTCCCACACACTAGAAAATCAACAACTTCCCACACACTAGAAAGTCAACAACTTCCCACACCTTAGAAAATCAACAACTTATCAGATACTAGAAAATCAACAACTTACCAGATACTAGAAAATCAACAACTTCCCACACACTAGAAAATCAACAACTTCCCACACCTTAGAAAATAAACAACTTCCCACACACTAGAAAATCAACAACTTCACACACCCTAGAAAATCAACAACTTATCAGATACTAGAAAATCAACAACTTACCAGATACTAGAAAATCAACAACTTCCCACACACTAGAAAGTCAACAACTTCCCACACCTAGATACTAGAAAATCAACAACTTCCCACACACTAGAAAATCAACAACTTACCAGATACTAGAAAATCAACAACTTCCCACACACTAGAAAATCAACAACTTACCAGATATAGAAAATCAACAACTTCCCACACACTTGAAAATCAACAACTTCCCACACACTAGAAAATCAACAACTTACCAGATACTAGAAAATCAACAACTTACCACACACTAGAAAATCAACAACTTCCCACACACTAGAAAATCAACAACTTCCCACACACTAGAAAATCAACAACTTACCAGATACTAGAAAATCAACAACTTCCCACACACTAGAAAATCAACAACTTACCAGATACTAGAAAATCAACAACTTCCCACACACTAGAAAATCAACAACTTACCAGATACTAGAAAATCAACAACTTCCCACACACTAGAAAATCAACAACTTACCAGATACTAGAAAATCAACAACTTCCCACACACTAGAAAATCAACAACTTACCAGATACTAGAAAATCAACAACTTACCAGATACTAGAAAATCAACAACTTCCCACACACTAGAAAATCAACAACTTACCAGATACTAGAAAATCAACAACTTCCCACACACTAGAAAATCAACAACTTACCAGATACTAGAAAATCAACAACTTCCCACACACTAGAAAATCAACAACTTACCAGATACTAGAAAATCAACAACTTCCCACACACTAGAAAATCAACAACTTACCAGATACTAGAAAATCAACTGTAGCACTTTGTAATCAAATCATAAAAGATTTATTACAAATAATAGCAAATTTGACAATACCCAAGGCTACATTTACATACTCATTGTCTCTAAATCAGCAATCACTTTAATATACATTAAAGTGATTGCTGAATTAAACAGCCTTTTTGATTTATTAAGAGAAAAAGCAAAATTACTCCATGGTAATGTTGATCAGTTTTGAAGGTTAAAATTTCAAAAATGAACAGCTAAAAAATTGTGACTTTGAAATTGTTAATGGTAACATTCACTACAACTCTGTGGTGAAAAGGTATTGATGGTGACTTGACTTAAACAGGCGTAGTTGTTCCCTGATGCCTGTGTGTATTGTGATATTTATGAATAGCCATCTAATTCTCTTCTTTACTAAGACTTCAAGGGGAATCCAGAACTGTATGTTTAAATCATCACTGACAACAGTTTTAGAATTGAAAACGAATTATGACAAAAAAGATGTTTTCTTGCATGGAGTTGTAATCGTTTTAATGAGATGATTCAAGAATTGAAGGGTTTGACCCCTGTAGTTCTTGTGATGTATCGAGATGTTTGAAGTTATGAGACAAAAGTAAATCTATTTATTAATCAGGTATTTGATTGGCATAGATGTAGTCTTCATTTTTTTTTTTTTAACTTGCTATAAGAAAATTAATGAGTTCCAATGATCCCGGCACAATGAAGAACCTGAAGCCTGAGGGTGAACTGGTTGATATTATAATTGACGATCAAAGATTAAGAAGAGCGGTGAAACTTCTGAGATAGGCTGTGTCAATATCTGTAATATAACAACATCAGTTTGGTGAATAAGTTTGAGCAGCCTGTGAAATTTGGCCCGACCACAACAACACTGGTGGTCTGTCGCGATATTCTACACACTTTGATTACCTTTTATATCATACAACTCAACAGATCAGGTAAAAATGTCATGGATAAAATAACCTACCATTGAAAAAAGGGAGTTCTTGCTATTTAAATACTGTATTGTGGATGTTGGGTATGATTTGTTTGACCAGACGAGACACACAATTTTCTGATAAAAATCAAAGTTTGAAAGACGGGGGTTTTCTATTTCTGTTTTAATTAATTTTTTTCTTTTTTTCCTAATTATATTACCGTTCCTTTATTTTGTCATGATAGATGTAGAACATACTGGCATATATTTAACAAATTTTAGTATACCTCCTTGTATTAAAAAGAAAATGATCTCCTTAATTTATACATACCTGTGGATCAAGGAAATTAATACTTTCAGGTTGGATGGTGTGTTTCTTTCTGAGAGTACTGATATATCAGTTGGACAAATTCACTTCGTAGTTATTTGAAAATATCAGCTTTTTAACATTAAGTTATAATTTACTACTTTTATCAATAAAATTTTTAAGTTACCATATTGAAAAATAATCCAGTTTTTAATTTAATAATGTAATCAGTATCTTATCGTTGTATCACCATACTTTCTGTATTTCACATCTGACATTACAATATTCTAAGCAACAATTTGAACAAGACTTAAAAAATTTTCTTTATGTTGATGAGAAGGTTTTATCAGAATGATTAATTCTGTAAAAGTCTGTATCATCAATGTTGCATTAAATTTTCAAAAGTACTTAGTGATTTAGATTAGTTTTTACATGAAAACCATTTTTACACATATACAAATTTTCAACTCAACATTATATCGCAGTAAAACATGTTATAAATGAAAATGTCTCTAATTTTCAGTAAAAAAATCTACAATTTAATATTTCAGTTACAAAAAAATCTATATTTTTATATTTTCTGTTGATAGTTTTATATCCAAAATGTATTGAATATTCAAATATTGAAGAACAGCATATCATGTAATAAAATAAGGTTGGTGTGTTGATAATTTTGCAAATTTGATGAAAAATGTTGACTTTTATTTTTCCTTTTTTCTGATTTTGACAAATCTGACACGCTTGCTGAGTTTCTAAAAAAAGTTTTCATTGATTTATGCCACAAATTCGCTAAAAACAAAACAATGTTAAACAAAAATTCCTTTTCTATGCTATTGATTCTCAATGTTCAGTGGATGATTGGGTAAATGTTACTCTCAAGAAACATTGCATTAATCTATGGAGGGTAAGAACAAGTTCTCAAGAAAGGTTGTCACCATCATGATGAGAAAACAATCTCTTGGTAGCATTCTCTATCCTGCTCAGAGAAAACCGATCTCATTAGGCTAGACTCATCGATTGACCTGGAAACAGCATTGTGGTCTTAGCCAGCCATTCTCTTAGAACTTGTAGCAATTAAATTTGAAGAGGAGTACTTGAGAGTGACTAGATTGTCGGAGCCGGTTCCTGCACACCTGTGTGTATCATCTCACTCATTCCCCACGGCTCCCTACTCCCAGCACAAAGTCCCTGCTCTCACAGGGGTCCTCGCCTCCAGAGAAGATATTATCCTCAATTGTAGCCAGAGGTGTCAGGCCTTTTGGTGTCATACATTACACATGCTGATTGTAAACAAAACTGCCAGATTTAACTTGGTCCCCGATAACAGAGGTGTATACACAGAACGAACTGTCGAGGATGACAACCAAAAACAAGAAAATTAGCCGCATCATCTCTACACTAACTATTGTTACACAACACCTGGATAACATCCAATACCAACCTCACATCTCCTCGAAATGTTTGTCTCAGCAACACCCTGACAAACAATAAATGATAAAATTATACTTAGATAATTGAGTAAAGTTAAGTAGAAACTGATTTGTAAAAAGAAGCAGGAGCTGCTGGTGTTGTCAGTTAATTACTCTAGATATTTAGAAATATAAATGAAAGGAGCTCCAGTTCCTTTTGTCAATCCAGTTTGTTAGAAAGAACACAGAGTAGGGTGCCAGAAACTGAGGTAATAATGTAAAAAGTCTGTATAGGAGAATTATTTTCCTGGTTGAGCACTATATTAATATGGGAAAGAAGTAGGGCTGATTTATATATCTTTATGTCAAATGTGTATTTTGTATGCTTTGACAAATATGAACACATGTAAAAGCAAAACCTTATTCATGGTATACATGACAACTGGTGATATCATAGAAATTTTCTTTTGTCAAATCTTGAAATGGTATTTTGCTGAAGAAACTATCTCCACAAGTGAAGCTTTTCAGAGACTTTAGCTGTTATCATTCAAATTGATCTTAACCACTTTCTGTCTTTTTGTTTCACAATGGATAGGGCATGCATTGTGTATGCTCTTGTTTCAAAAACCATTGGGCGTTTGTTGTGATATCATAAATATCTCAAGCAATTTATTCCTTTTAGATTTGGTGGAGGGAGAGGTCAGCACTTTGACTCTCGCAATAGAGGTTACAATAACAATAATGTTGGCAACTGCAGTAACCAAGGAGGGAACCATGGTAACTGGAGAGGTGGCTATGGCAACCAAGGAGGCAACTATGGAAACCAGAGAGGTGGCTATGGAGGTGGACACGGCAACTATGGTGACAACAGGAGGGTGAGTTGATGTCGGGTTTCATGGCAGGATTCAGTGTAGAGCCTAAGATAATCTTTGATTTCATTGAGATGGATGTGTCTCTGATGAAGCATTATTCTCTAGTTGTATCAGTCTGCAAAACTTAATCTTTCAATCTACATCAATGAATTTTGTTGTGATTTGATTACAATTTAATTGATGACACTTTATATGGGAAACAGGAAAGCTTGACTATGTAACAATTATTATCTTCATTGACAGGATAATAACCGAGGTGGCTATCCTCACCATCAGCCAAGATCTTATAAGCAGCACCGATCCCATCCCTACTAGACCAACATACTGGATAGATCATCATGTAACCATCATCCAGGTCAGCAAATCTCTTGACACTGATGTGATCAGTAGGACTATCACCCCATGTGTTCACATAGAGTGTCATTGAAATCAAATATATGTCATTCAACATAGTATTTTAAGACTGTACTCAAGAAATCACACTTAGGATCTTGATATTTTTATCAAAATAAAAACAGCAACTCAGGGCATACATTGCTGGAGAATGCGTGAAAGAGACTATTGTCTGCAGAAATTAGGAAACAATTTGTTCAATCCCAAAAGGATGCGAGGGGATTTTAATGAACAAATTACTCATTTTGGAAATCAAATTGATGTTTCGTAAATGCATATTTTAATAGTTAAATGAAATGTAATATAATAATTTATATTATGCAAAATTTGTTTTAATAGTAAATTCATTTGTTTTGAAATGTGGAATTTTATTGATGAAAATTAAATAGAAAGAAAGTAGGTTTTATTTCATCATTACATTGGAGATGACATCAATATTGTGACATTACAGTGTTTTTACATCTAGTACAACTGAATAAAATCCATCATTTCATATTTCATGTATTTTGTCTTGTTTTCAGTGCAATGTTGTCCATCCTGAACAACCTTTCAATTCAAAAATGATTCGATCTATCATTATACATTGAACTCAGCACAGGGAAATATTGGAGTTATGAAATATTTTCGTGGTATGCAAGGCAGTAGGTATTGCATGAAGGTTTTAATTCAATCAACTTTGACTGCAAGGCGTTGTTGATTGTAAGAAACATGTGGGAGACTACTGGTACTCATTCATGAATTGATAACTTTTTATAGTTGTGTTCACAGAAAAAATAAAGAAAATTCGGAAAGAATGTTTTGAGATTTTGATTTCTTTTTTTTTTCATGAATAAAAATTGAAATAGATGTACATAAAACATACAAAATTATTTATAATGATATACAACATTCACCAAAAACAATATTATTTATTGAATAGAAATTTCACATTATACAACATATACATGGATAATAATTTACATGTAATTATAAACATGCTGTTTAAATATATACTTTTATTACATTTTTGCCTGTGAAATATATGCATTAATTGATTACTTAAAAACTTATGATATAACTTTAATGGTTTTGGTCAATCAGAGCAATGCATTCAAGTCACTGCATTGAAATTCATCAATTTGCCTTTTGAACCAGATGAAACACCATTGAATTATTTCGCATCCCATCAAATAATTTCCATGTAAATTACTGTTGTTGTTTTTTTTTTTTATCTCTTTAGATATATTTACATAAAGAAGTAAACATTAAATAGGAGAAGACAAATAAAATAATTGTTTTGTTCCACTGGAGATGAAATAGAAAAATAGATATGAAAAGTTGGAGACATCTTGTAGAAAAGAATAGCCATACAACATTACAAACCTACCTTGAACATGCATATGTTCATATATTCTTTCTATGATTTTTATTTTAGACAAATAGTGGATAAAAGTGAAATATGTTGAGGATTTTGTTTTTCAAAGTGACTTTGGACTCCAGAATGGAGGCTTTTGTGTTGCTATAGATCGGTGGTGGAGTAACTAACAACATGCCTATGTATTGACATATATTCAACAACCAAAACATACCTCGCTGTCAAAATAATAAAAAAAAACATGTTAAAAGTTTGATAACCAAAGCCATCGCAGATACTTCCAAGGTCACGACTGGCTTTCCTAACCTAACGGTTTGTGTGACAGGTTCTGTCTCCTTTTCTGTGCGGGGTTGTCCAGGTTCAACAGTCCAAGGAGTGAGAAAAGTAATTTGGCTGGGCACAGTGCGTTAGCGGTGACAGGGATTGTGGAATGGCCGTTTGGTAGTACATACCTTTTATAAGGGATATTTGTTTTCTGTAGTTCGTGTTGGCTTACTGTCTTTGATGGGTGTAGTCCAGAATCCCTTCGTCAGTACGTGTGCAACTTTTCATTTTTCTTGTCATATAAATGGATCCCCACCTGTCAGCCAATGTCACGTTGATTGTTATCAACCACCAAACACCCCAACCTAATGTCAAAACAAAGTCCAGCATTTAAATCCTAAAATTTCAAAGTTTACAAATTACATAGGCTAATTGACAGGGTTGAGTACGGAATGGCGGTAAACGCAGTGATAAAATTTGATTAGAGAAAGTATACATGTCACCTGTCAGAGATTCACTTCTACAACAGGAAATGCCAGGCTACCATCACCGCACAGCAAATCTAGAATATTTCATATATTTCATATAAATATTTTCAGTGGTTATTTATTACGAATCTAAAATCATTTCATTGTTGATGTATTTTAAAGATGAGCATGTGTACTTCTAAAACATGTTTCTTGTTGGTTTAGGGAAACGTCTAGTAAAATTTAGGATATTCAATAAGATATTTTTTTAAGTATTTATTAATCAAGTAATTCATAGAGGGAATTGGACATCACATATAGTTCAGTGTATTTTGATTTCTACACTTACAAGGAATTTATTGTCTAGTTGCCTTATTAGTTATGAAATTCGGTCTTTAGTGTCTGCGGTTGTTTTAGGCCTAGCTTATGTCTTAATACAATAGGGGTAACGCAGTCAAGGTCTTTGATCTTTGGTTATTACAGACCATGACACTACATTGACATGTTATTACGACAAGGATAGTTCCTCTGGTGTATAACAAAGACACGTGGTTATTACAGACCATTATTATTACAAAAAAGATATGTCTGACCTTACAAACTATAATATGTATCTACATGGTTGTAGGACGATGACTTTTCCACACTTTACTTTGGTCATTACAGATCGTAATAAGCATGTGATGATGCAGTTTTTTTATTGTAACCATAGTTATTTGCATTATCATGAGTTTAAGACAAGGACAAATTATTGGCATTGAATGTTAAATAGAAAACTGATATAGTAATATGACCAAGTGCTTATAAGGAGGGCAGTATGTGACGAGGTCAGCTCCCAGGTTTTTATAAATTAGACTGTCTTAATATTGGTTTACGACGAGATGGTTGTAAGTTTTCATTTGTTCAGATGAAGTTTTAAAATGAAGATGATAAACACATGGAGATCTACCAAAACGATGAAAGACGCAGCGACATCTCGTCTCCAGTTTTAGAGTGTTACTTATTTTGTCACCATTGGATAAATAAGATAAGGCAGATAATCCTGCTGTTTACAGACTTCCGAACCTAGTCCGACGTACAGGTTAGCCGTTAATTTGTGCTGTAGATAGCGGTCTTCAACAAGTTGAGAATTATATCATGAATATCTGGATTGTTGTTCCATGTTCGTAAATTCAGGATTTATATGTAATCCCCATAAACGTGATCCTGAACAGTAACCGGAGCTAGTTCTTTAGTGTCAGACGAATGATTGTATTCTTTGCATTTTGTAAATAATCATGATGATAGCATGCATATACGTATAGAGAAAATCCACGAAACAATTTTACATCAAAACAAATAGCCGTAGTGTATGTAGATACTTTTTCATATGTAAGTATAATATCTGTATTTTACGGGCTAAGGCTTTTGCACCTCCTCATCTTGATTTTGACATTTCTTGCGATAGGTTTTCATTTTCTTAGTTTCCTCATAGACTTAAAAAAAGGGGGTCTTTAGAGTCATAGACGAGTCTTAGGAGGACGAAACAGCCATATGGCACATTTTAATTCAATTTTTGTCTCTGTTGTTTCTAATTATCAAATATTTTTTAAGGAGTCTCGGTGTAAATTTTTCTTTTGCTCATTTTATGCCCTTGTTTTGTTGAAATTGATTGGATTATGATTATGTTGAAATGGTCGTACTGATAAATATATGATTATGCTGTTCTTCTACGTGTCTTTTGTCCAATCTTCGACAGGTGGTAAACACTTCTGGAAGACTTATTCTCTGAGGTTTCCCGTAACCTGTTTGCCGCCTTTTCAATCTATTCGAATATACTTTCTCATTAAATTCTTCAACTATATGGTTCCAAATAAAGCTTTTTCAGCATCACTGACTGTAATCCTAGACAGACAAACAGCTGTATGGTGTATTGACAAGTGCTCTTCGCTTGTGTGTCTTTTGTATAATCTTCAGTAACGTTTTAGAAAATGGATTATTTTTTTCATAATAAATTCGTCTTATTCTTTGACGAAAAATGTATCAAATAATAGTTTTTAGCTGTCATACTCAAATAGAATAAGTTGAAATTTCTTAAAACTTTTTATAGCAAGGAATACGTTGTTGAATATATTATACATATACAGTGTATTGAATAGGAAATATCCTGTTCGAAATGCAATTTAGCGGTTAATGGTATAGGAATGTGAACGTATGGCATTTTTCTGGAGACATTGATGTTGGAACAGGACATTTTCACAGACAGTAAAGTGATAAAGGTCTAAGTTTATGGATATTTCCAGACCCCTTGTAAAGCTCTTATGGTCGTATAATGGAGAATTGTTGTATATCATAAGTCAATATACTGACCACTCAGGAGCACGTGATGACCCATAGGTGTTATTAGCAATGTCACAGTAGCGCTTGGATTGCAATACATTCTAACCAATCACGTTGTTCTTCTGTACTTAAATGTCGTTATGTTGCAAAAGATCATTTCACTTGTGGTATATATTCATATAGAATATATACATATAGAAAAAATCATAGTGGTAAAACGTCATAGGACCGACTCTTTGTTCCTGAACTGAATCATCATATCTATAATTACTAAGTTGGTTTATTAAAAGTAAAAAAGATTAAAATATATATTAGACACATATTTGAATAACATGGTTAAGGATAGAAAGGAGATAAGCTTGTCCAAGGACATTGGAAAGACGATTAAGAAACATACTACATACTACTGTAGAAGAAAACACCTCACATTATATTTTACAATCAGCCATGGACAAAACATGTACACTGTATACTGTATCTATTGCCAAAGACATGTACACAGACACTTTCTAAGTGCCTTTCTCTCAATATTTTCTCACGTTTAGTTTGGTAAAATAAATTTCATATTTGATATTTATACACATAAAATAGTGTGCTAAATATTTCACAGCATGAACATTCATAATCAATCTACAGAAAATACCCAAGTACGGATACAATATTAAACCAAAGCAAGCATTAAGAACGTACGGGATAGAAAAAAAACAGGATTGATGACATAAAAAACGGGAAAACGAGAGGAATTGTGACACCAACATGATGGAAAACACAAGGGGTACTTGTTCTTTTTCTGTCTTCTTTTTAATTATCTTTATATCATGGTATAGGAGTATGATGTTATTTAATTTATTACAAGAGTATTTTCCCTCTCAAATAATGTTAAAACATTCTTTTTTATATAAAAGGTTAGGGAATATTCTATTTTTTCAATGCTTATAATTGGTTCATAACTCCAGAAAATGAGTACGCGTTTTCATTTTGCCAATGGTTTCGTGATACAGGCCAAACGATTGAAGAGAGATTATCAGACACTGTACATTTACATAGTTGTTTTAATCGTTCGATGGTAATGTAATGCTACAAAAGCAGATTATATTTAGAATCTGACACGGTGATGATTTTACATTATAACGGTATATACTGATTTACGTCCCTATATAATTATTGTTTTTGTTTATAATTTGAACTGCACATG